TGGCTGGCCAGGTGTGATATTCCCACGGCCACCTGGCATGGAAGGCAGAGCACTGTGGGACCGTTGGCAGGTCATATTGACCTCGGTGTCCTGGGAAAAGTGAGGGTGTTGGCAGCGAGAACGGCACCAGGAGTCAGACAGGACCGTAGTTCAGCAACCTCCGTACTTGAGGTTTGGCTAAGAAAGATTTCAGAGCCAAGACTCAAATTATGAAAGTTTATTTAGAAAGTCACAGGGGTAGAAAAAATGGGCTCAGGTAACAAGTTACAGAGGCTAAAGAGGGGCCCTTGGAGTTTAGGAGAGAGAAGGGTAAAGGTAACAGGCCTGCCGGGGAAGGGGAGGGTGATGGGAAAGGCGGGAAGGAGCTGGCAAGCTCAGCTTCAGAGGGGAGAGGGAGGGCTGCGGGGGCCCTCCGGGCCTAAGGGCTTTTAAGGGCTGGGATTTTAGGGGTGGTCCCAGGGGAAGGTCTCAATAGAATATTCAGCAGCTTTCCAGGTGTGTCCTTTCAGGGTCGTGGTCTCCACTGGTTGGTCAGCGCCAGGGGGTCGTTTAGTCAGTGCAGTGGGTCCTGATGTCAGCCATGGCGTCGCTTGTCTGGTTTTGCTGCGTTTCTGGGCCTGGAGCTGAAACCCAGCTGAGGCCTAGATGTTATCCCTAAGGGTTAATGGCCTAAGGGGGTGGTGGTGCAAGGGCCTGCATGGGAGTCGCATGAGGCCAAGGAGAAGTCGGGGAAGGTCCAAGCCGTGTGACCAGCAACATGAAAGGTCAGGGGTCTAAACCACATGACCAGCGATATGTTAGGGGAGGAAAGGTCACCCTGGGGGCCAGGGCCTTGTTTTCCCCGTTTTGCTGGTTGCTAGGCACCCAGAGCTTTCTGCCCTGATGACCTTCTGTACCTGACCCTGCATCCTTGCTCTGCTCATGTCTGTCTAACCTCCTACCACAAGGGGAGAGTGGAACCGTCTGGTGTGACAGTGGTCAGGGCCGGTGTGAGTGCTCCCAGAGGCCATGGCTGCACAGAGCTCCAGGCACAGTAGGTGCAAATGAAGTCCCCTGTAGGCCAAGCCTCTGCACGCAGCAAAGTGGTAGGGATGCAGATGGAATGTCCCTAACTGTCCCTAACTGTCTGCAGTCCGGTCTTCGTTCCAGGTGGTGACAGTGATGTGGCACACCATATGGTGACACCAGACCCACAGGGAACAAAGGCGCCTCTGCTCTCCTTCCTTGGGAGGAGGATTGGGTGCACTTGCTCCTCCTGTCCCAAGGCCCTGCCTTTCTTGCCTGCAGCTGTGACTCAGGCCAAGCCTGGCCTGGCTCTGAAAGAAATAGCCCCAACCTGGGCACTGAGGCCAGGCAGACCTGTGCTAGAGGCTGGGGCAGGGGAAATGGGGGGGTGATAGGCTGGGAGGCTGAGAGGGGTGGTAGTTGGAGAAGAGCCCAGAAAGGCTAGTTTGGGCACAGGAGCTATGGAAGAGAGATGTGGTTCCCTGCACGACGCCTGGTTCCTGGGAAGCACTCAGTAAATGCTTGTTAAATCCAAGACAATACACAGACATACCTAAGAGGGCAGCCTGGTTCACAATGGGTCCCCATCACCCCCTACCCCCTCTTACTCCAAGGGCCTCTCAAGCTCTCCCCTGCGCTCACACACATTCACACAGATGGAAATGCTCTCCCATCCCCTCTCCCATTGGTTCCTTCTATAGCACTAGGCCATGGTCTCACCTTGAGATGAGGCCACAGCTCAGGGAATGCCCCTCATTTCATCTAATGCCCCCAAAGGCTCTGGAGAGCTCCCAGGGGGACCAGACTGCAGCAAGGGATATCCGAGGTCACACTCCTGACAGCTGGCAACATGGGGCTGAGAGGCCAGGTACCCAGGGCTGTCTCCCTCCTTGGAGCTCTACCGAGCCCTGCCTCACCTGGTCCTGCTGGAGTCTGCTCAAGATCAAACCCTCTGGCCTGTTGTGCAAGCCTACCCTCGGGAAGGGGTGGACCTGAGTGTGGCTCTGTGCCACCCTTGTGGCCTCCCTGCCTGGGGGCCAGGGTTGCCTTGCAGCACCCAGCACGGTTTGCTGCTTTTCGACAACTGGCATTTCTGAGTTCTCCACTGGGATCCAGTTGCAGGGCCCACACCGAGCAGACAGACCGTGGACTGCCATCTGGAGCTTGTTCTCGGGGACCGAGCAGGCTACAGTACCCCTGGCGCAGGGGCAACACCTGCCAACGTTCACTCAGTATTTATTACATGCCAGGCACTTGGGCAGGCCTGTGACCGCGGGAGATGCTCAAAGTGCAGGTCCCCTGAGGGCTGACCGTGAGCCAGGCCCATGCTGAGTTCCCGTTAGATCCTCCAGCATCCATGTGCCCATTTTACAAATGAGGAAACCGAGGCCCAGAGATGCTAAGTCACTTGCCCAGGGTCCTAGAGCTGGCTGATTCTGAGCCTGGTCACCTCTGCTGTTGCTCGAAGGTCAAGGTTAAGTGTCCCCATTGCACAGCAGGCTGTAGTGACGCAGGAGGTGTGGGAGTGGGGAGGAGAACCTGCAGGGGTGCCGGGGTGGAGGTGAGCACTCGGGCTGGGGGCAGGGAGGACTTTGGATTCTCCTGGGGGTGGAACAGAAGCCACTGAAGGGACTTGGCAGCAGGGGGAGATGTACTTTGGCCTTGGGCATGAGGGTTGGCACAGAGAGGCGGGAATGTCGCTGCTGCAGGGTCCACCTGGAACCCCCAGCTTCATTTCTCTGATACCCACCC